ACTAATATGGATAATTGATTCCCCCCCCAATTTACAGTCGTTATTTAAAAATGTGCTCTAGGCCCTGCTTATTCCTGCTTTATATCCATATTCTCATTTATCCCAGTCTCACAGTTTTCTGGCACGGTTAGGCTGGCTGTACAGAGAGGAGCAAGCGATGCAGAGGAGTACACACTCATGACCCTGTTTGGGCCTGTCTGTTCTCACTGTGCATCATTCAACCAAATCCTATTTGGCTGCACAGCTGTGGTAACGCTGTGCTTGAGCCCAGTCTTTACCTAGATTAGGAGAAGGTGCTGTGCCTTACTTGCACTTATCTGGTTTTGAGACAAGCAATGCCCAGCCACCCAAACCAGGTAACCTTGGACCTCAGGTTTAAACGGCATCAAACCCCTCCCTGTCCTCCTCTGACTGCAGCACAAACTGGATGTCTGAGCAATGTTATACTCCGATGCACGTATTTTAGTTTCACAGTTTGGGCAACATTTTAGTCAAAATGTGTTGGTTCTAAGTAGTGGGGCATTTGGGAACTTGCCATGCACTGTATTTATTCTCCCAATCCTATATTATCCTGTACAGTGTTGTAGCTGCCAAAACCACATGCTCATGTTGGCATGAAACAATTATCCTGGTTTATATAGAACAGGCTTGGCAATAGTCTATCTCAATGAACAGTCATAGTGCTGAAAGATTCAGAGTTGTCTTTTCCTCTCCAAGCAACAGACTAAATTTCTTTCAGCTGGATTCATGGTTTTAAAAAATAACAGGAGTAGAAAGCAAGTATGGAGAGCTGGGTGTAAACGAAGTACCTGTGAGGTCTGGAAGGAAGTGAAAATGAGATGCAGGAAAAAAAAAGACTATTTAAGATACAAGCTACTAATTTGGTTTCTAAACCCATGTGAAAGCACAAATAATGCTTACTGTTGCCAGTTGGTGAACACAGAAATGTGTGGGTTTTTACTTGCATGCAAAGCTATTGGTTGCGGGTGAAGTACTTAGACAAAAACATTCAATCGCTGGTGTGGGTATTCCACCAAAAATAAACCCAAACACTGACTTATTATGAAAGCACTTTTTTCTGCAGAGACGAACATTCAGTTGCTGCTGCTATTAGTGAACTCTAGAACTGTTAAAGCCTCCTATTTAACTCGCCTGAAATAATAATACTTTCTTCTAGAAAGTCACACAAACATCTCTGAAACTTAAGAACCAGTGTTTATGTATTTTTCAGGGAAATGTAGTATATGATGTAAACTTACAGGGATATTGATCAACGATAACTATTACTTGTCAAGGTCTTGTGAACCAAAACCGCTGCATAGACAAGAGCCAAAGGTGAAGGGTAGGAAGCTGTTCTTAAACTTTAAAAAATGTTAACTGAAAGTGGACTTAAACATCAGTCAAAGAAAAATCATTTTGTGGCGATTAGCAAAGGTTAGTAAAGGCTTATTTTTCCTCCTTTTTTTCCAGACAGCTTCACAAAGAGATTTTTTAAATTGTACGTCATTATGAAAGTAACTGCTACTTTCTTATCAGAATGGTGATAGAGATTTTTATTCCAGAAGGCCAGACACTATCACTACTTGAAATTCTCAAAATTGTTTCCACTGTGAGCAAATTCAGTCTTGATGAGAGTCACATCTGCTTAAAAGTGAGTAGCAGTTGCTTCTACTTTACACCAGCATCAAATTTCACCTGCAATCTCAAATTTTAAAAATCAACTTAAATCCCAGGATTTGGATAGTTTTGCATAAGTGACTTTAAATCCAGAAGTACCTAATAGGGAATACTGAAATAAAAACATTCGGCTTTAGTGGTTTCTGGTGGAAACAGAGACATTTCCTTTCAGATATGAATGTTGTGAGCTAAAAAAAAAGTCTGTTTAAGTTTTTCCACATAGAGACAAAAAAGTAGCGATTAGACCTAAATGCAGTTTCTCATCCAGCTGGCAAGGTTGGGTAGTGAGTGGAGAGAAGAGCAGGGGGACAGGCCGCCTGCATGAATTGTGGGCTTAGCTGTCCATGATGTATTAAGGATTAATTGCATGTTTAGCGACACAGCTGTGGCTGCACAGCACAGGGGCGTCAAGTCACACCACTGTTCCCGTCGGTTCCCAGTCCTTCAGAGCGTGAGCTGTTTCAGCCGTTCCATCGCCCTGGCCGGCACTGATGGATTAATGAGAGGAAATGTTTATAGAAAGGTTCAGGTTTCCTGAGTGGAATGAAACCCCCCTCAGCAATGATCAGCGAGCTCATGTCATGGAGCAGTTTGAAGCAGCCTGACTTGCAGGAAAGCAAAGGCCTTTTCAAAAAGGAAACTTGACAAGTGGGCAATTCTGGGGAGCAGCTAGAGGTGTTTTCAAATAAAAGATGTGGCTTTTCTAGAGAGGCAGCATGAATGGGGCTAGCTCTGAAAGGAACTTTAAATCAGTAGTTCGTACACCGTAAATGTAAAAGGTTATATTTGAGAGCACGGTGTCAGAATAAAATAGTGCCCTGAGAGAAAGTGCAACTATTGCACACTGTGCTCAGTAAATGAAACAATATTGCACTGCAACCACAGCTACCATAATGGCATCCAGCTAAGGCATCTTAGATCTCTGTTCTATAACTTATATTTTAGTATAGCCATAGTTTAAGGCAAAGGAAGTGTGATGTACCCAATAAATAGGCTGAAATCATTGCGAGAAAAAAGCTGGGAACTGTCATAATTTCACAGGTGTAGAATTCTGTTTGCTGGGGCACTTTCCATGATTCTAGCCAGACAGCTTGAGATCTAAACATTCATTTCAGTTTAAAAAATGAAACAAAATAGACCATTCCATTGAAGCTATCAGCTTTCAGATGACTGTGATAAGAAAGAATGTAGGCTTCGGGCTAGCTATTAAGATTAAAGTAAAATTCACCTGAACAGAACTGGAGATAGCAAAGGTGCTGGGGGAGAAAAAAAGCCAGTTCAAAACACTGCCCTTCGAAAGCCATTGATAAAGGACCTAGTCCTTAGTGTTTCCCTAAAACACTCCACACGTCAAAGCGAGGATTTAATTTGCAGCACTTGCAGCACCCTCCAGTTCTGAATCTCAAAGTCGCTTTGGAATGGGAAGAGAGCATTATCCTTATTTTCTAGATAAGGAAACTGGTTTATCAGCTTGCCCTCAGTGAGAAAGAAAATTTGGCTAGGATGCAAGTACCTCAAGTGAGGGCAAACATTTGATGAAACTGTTTCAAAATGTGACCTCCAGTTGTGAGGGGTTGGCACTTATAAAAGCCCGTTTCAAGTCACAGCTGAGTTTATGGTCAGTATATTCACAATGTATTCACCCCAAAGTCTCTTGCATCTCCCACAACAAGGTGAGGGCTAAGACGCCACTCGCAGAGCTGCCCCCCTTCTATAACCTGCCCAGTGTTCAAAGACTGAAAGAACTTCATTGGAGCCCTTGTATTAAAAATTATTTATTTAGTGATCTGTACATGGGATGAAGCAGGGCCTCATACAGACCTTCAAAAAAAAAAATCAAGTAAAAACATAAATACATATTTTCTTACAAAAATGAGATTTACAAAATATACATACTGCACTTGTCTTACACATCTGTTTTTTTTTTTTTCCTTTTTCTTCCACGTGCACATTATAAAAGACAAAAATGCAAGCCCTGCAAGTCTGAAATCAGATCTCTTGAAGGATTTGGCTGATGGGCCCATTCCTCATGCCCAGACTACTGTCTGCCCCCTCACCCTGAACAGGTTTTTTCTTTTTAGGATTCATTCCAGACACTTTTCCCCCCAAAAAAATGAAGAGCAGCTATAGGGTGGAGACTTGCTAAAAAAATCCAGAATTTCCTATTTCATCCTTAGGCAAGAATATACACACACACACTTATAAGAACAACCCTTCAGTGAATATAAAGGTAAAAGTAGTATGCAAAAAATAAAATATGAACAAGTCAACATAAAAATTTCAGAATAGAAAAATCTGTCACATTTCAAAAAGAAAACGATGCATTTGATGATTAATTTTTGAATCTTTCCTTCCAAGACATGACCACTGGAAACTTAACCAGCTGTATTTTAGCCAAAACGAGAAGGCTCCTCACTTGCAGTAACTGCTTGCTTTTAAACCCCAGCCCCAGCCCCCTCCTGCCCCACGATTCTTTGCCACGCAGTTCTGGGAACCTGAGGAGCACGCAAAGGGTCCATTGTGAGCCAAGAGGATTCTCCCTGTCCCCAGAAACCGGCTGTGTATTGACTTTACCTGCAGTGAGCTCATTGCAAAGCAGGAGAGAAAGCAGGTTTATGGGAAGGAAAGGAAAAAATTGTATCTTTACTACATTACATATTTTGATGGCTCTTGTTTTGGCAGGTGCTCTTGGTTACGCTCTTCTTGCCCTTTGAGTCCTGCATTTCTTTCAGCTTAGAAAAGCGACCCATATTGAACAGTAGGAAAACATCCTGCCTCCTCCTTTTTTCATAAAAGGAATGTTTATTTCTGCGAGCTCCTCACATCCAAGGGTGAACCTCAACGACTTCTTTTTGTTAGTTTGCCCATAAAAACCGATCCCATGCTTATGCCTTTCTACATAGAAAACACTTTTGTTTCCCCCTTTGTCTCCTAGAACAAAGGCAAGGGGGAAAAGCCTTCTGCTGAAAAGCAACAAGTCATTTCTTTTCAGGGTGTGGAACAGCAACCCCCTCCTTCCTCACAGCAGCAAGAATAACAGACAGAGGGCTGAATTTTCACTTTAAAACAATTACAACAGGTATCACTGAGGTAAAAAGGAACGGGTGAGCTGACAGAGCAGAGGCATCTCCCCACACACGATCTGGGCTGCAGCTGGCCGTGCCGTACTCACGTGATTGCTCCGCCGAGCTGGAAGGAGCAGGCAGTAAGCTCAGGCTCAGGAGTTACCCTGCCTGCCCGGCAGTTCGACCCCAGCAATTCAGAGAGGGTTTGGCTACTTCTCGGCAGGGGCAGCTCAACACATCTGGCTTCCCTCCCTCTCATCCAAAGCAAGGCAGGATAGTTTTAGCTGGGTTGGGGTTTTTTCCTGCACAGAGGTAGCAGGAGAGAGAAGTAAGGGGACTTCTTGCAGGGAAAGGACTCTCCCATCCCACCAGTGGCCTCTTTCTGTGCTCTTCCACTTAGCTGGGCATAAGCACCAGTGGACACAGTCTGTCTGATCCTTTACACCACGATTTTATTTTTTTTCCCCCTCCTCAAACCCTCTGGGAGGAAGAAAAAAGTTTGGAAAAGCCTCCCTTCCTCCCTCTTCAGGGAGCCATTGCCATCCTCTTCTACCAAGTACCCCTCTCCTCTGCGTGTCTGCATGCATGCGTGTGTGTGTGCCAGAGGGGACGGGGGCCTCATACTGCTGTCTCGCCTTTGCTGCCAGTGCTGAGTCTGTGGTAGAAGCGTCGCCAGGACTGAAGGGTTTTGCCAGACCAGATCCAAAAGCCAGTTGTGATCCCAACAATCATGGTCATGAGGTACTTGATCATGAAGACAGTGAAGTCTGGGCTCATAGGGGCAAAGTGGCTGGGACAGGGCACAGCATAGGTTTTGCAGGTCTGGAGGAGCCACGTCTTCTCCCAGGTGCCACGAAAGGCCTGCTCATAGAAGTAACATGCCAGGACAATGGTGGCAGGCACCGTGTAGAGGACACTGAAGACACCAATGCGCACCATCAGCTTCTCCAGTTTCTCTGTCTTGGTGCCGTCATGCTTCATGATGGTGCGGATGCGAAACAAGGACACGAAGCCAGCGAGCAAGAAGGAAGTGCCAATGAAGAGGTACACAAACAAGGGCGCCAGCACAAAGCCCCGCAAGGAGTCCACACTGTAGATACCTACGTAACACACCCCACTGAGTACGTCCCCATCCACCTGCCCCATGGCCAAGATGGTGATAGTTTTGACAGCAGGCACAGCCCAGGCAGCCAGGTGGAAATACTGGGAGTTGGCCTCGATGGCCTCATGGCCCCACTTCATGCCAGCAGCCAGGAACCAGGTGAGGGACAGGATGACCCACCAGATGGAGCTTGCCATGCCGAAGAAGTAGAGGATCATGAAGAGGATGGTACAGCCTTCTTTCTTGGTGCCTTGGGCCACAGTGCGGTAGCCGTCCTCAGAGAAGCGCTCCAGACACACCACTCGTTCCTCCAGCAAGAAACCTGCCGCATAGGCCACTGCCACCATGAAGTAGCAGCCAGAGAGGAAGATGATGGGCCGCTCTGGGTAGCTGAAGCGGCGCATGTCCACCAGGTAGGTCAGCACAGTGAAGAGGGTTGAGGCGCAGCAGAGCACAGACCACACGCCCACCCACAGCCGGGCAAATCGCACCTCCGCCTCCTTGAAGTACATGAGCCCGTTGGGCCGGGCTGGCTCACAGGGAGCCCCGCAGTCCCGCTCCCCCAGGAACCGGTAGCCCAAGTAAGAGGGCACTTTGAGCTGCCGGGGGCAGGAGAAGGAGAAGCCAGAGGGGGGCTGTGGCGGGGTGAGGAAGTCAGGGAGGTAGCCAGCCGTGGGGTGGGCAGTGGCCCCCCGGCCTGCTGCACCACCAGGCCCCGGCGGGGCATCCGATGTGTTCTGCCCCACACAGATCTCA